TGTCAAGCCTTGGAACAGGCTTCCCACAGAAGTGGTGGAATCACCATCCCCGGAGGGATTTAAAAGACATGTGCTGCTTAGGGACACGGTTTCATAGTGGATTTGTGCTGTATTAACAGTTGGACTAAAGGATCTTGAGGGTCTTTTCCAGCCTAAATGATTCTATGATTCAAGGAAGTACTCCTGACTCACTCTGAGCCTCCACATGTCTTTTTTAGCCTCACCTCTCTGAAAATTTCCATCACTTATATGAAGGTTGCACATCATTCAAGATGTGCAAGACTTGGAGAACAGAAGCCTCAGATAAATGCATAGCAACTCAAGTTTTTCATATATATATATATATATATCAATACACAGGATTTTTTTTATTATTATTATTATTTTGTCAGAAAGATGTATATTAACAGCATTTTGGAAAAGGCCCTACAACCCAAAGAAGCTACTGGTACAGCAGTTTGGACTCACTAACACAACATTCAAACCACAGCCTCGAACATGGCCTTGACTGTGAGAGACAGAGCTATTGACTACTTCAGATTGACTTTGTTCCCAAGCCACAACACCAAATGAAAACAAGCAATGTAACCTTGAAATTTTTCACAATACAATTTTTGTTTCTTGGCCAACTTTTCTTGTAGCCTCTCCTTTCTATGAAACTTCCTGCTTTTCCGGGAGATGGTTAAATTTTGTTGATGCGATACATGCCTGCAAACAATGAGTCAAAGACTACTTGACTTCTGAAACCAACCTATCCCGTTCTCTTATAAACAAAAACATACAGGACAATTTACTACGACTATATCATTAGAAGAGACTCATTTCCCACAGTCCTTTGCTTTTATGGTACAGGTTTGATGGTCCCGATTGCACAGCTTTGCACCAATAAAAATGCAAAGCATATGGAACCAGAGACCCTAAACCTTTTTTTATTAAATCCCTTGATTCCAAGGAAACTTCAAGATATGTGGTGCTGTGTTAATACTCTTGTTTTCTAGGATGGAACACGGGCACAGAAATCATTGTATTCCAGTCATTTCCAGCTGCTAGAACCTCCCATGGAGTTGGCCATCTTGGATACAGTCATTCTGCTTGAAAAAAGCCTGGAATGGTTACTGCCATGTAGCATTACTAATTTAATTTCTTGTATATTAGTAAGCACTGGTAGCAAGTTGCATGTCAACAACCCTGAATGGTCAGTATGGTCCTCTGTATTCTATAAAGCCTTTACCTAATTAGGAGGTCATGATGGATAAAAAGCTAGACACAAATGACTAACTTTTGCCAGCTTAAGTAGTTCAACCTTGAATAAAAGACAAGCTCAAGGTGTTTCCCCCACCATCTTCTACAGCTCCATCTCCTCAAACCAGGCCCTCAACCCCCAATTGCCTCCCTAATCTATCTTTTTATTGTATATCTAATATCACCAAATTGTTGCTTTCTGCCCCATAAGAGCACTACTCACTCTGACACTGTGTCTTCATTCACAAGCTAGAAGCAGTGCACAGGATGGGCAACAGCTAAGAATAGTTTAGAGCTATTTCTTCCCATGTAGTGTCACCATAGACCACTTGATCCACAGGTTCTTTTTCCATAGCAATGCAAACAGCTCACTTCATTCTCTTTTATCTGCATACACTGTGATTTGAAACAAACTTAACTCTGCATTTCAGACCCTAATTCTCAAAGCTGAAAACCTAACTGAACAAGTCCCTCAGTTCTGTACACAAAATGATAAACTGAACTGGGCTTCTACTGAAGATTTTCCTGAAACAAACCAAAAGCCCCAAACCAAACGTTGTGCACATGTGTATATTAGGGAGGCATGTCAGGGTTTAAACAAAACACTAAATACGTAAAGCACAGTTTATACTCACTATGAGAAAACATCGACAATATTAAATAAAAGCTAAGACTAGTACCAGAGAGGATAACCACCACTCCTTAAGGACTTCTATGTAGTGCACAAGTTTGGGAGGAGCATTTATTCAGGAGGGCCATCTAAAAAAATATTACTGACCTCTAGAATACCAAGTGTTTGGTATTTATTGTTTCAGTAATTTGCTTTTCAATACGGTTTTCAATCTCCAAACATAGTTATTTGCCCTGAGAAAAATGGAATTTGGTAAAAACTTTCTGGGATTTTCTTCTAAATTAAAAGACTCAAACCCCAACCATACCTGTCTAGGAAAAGACACTGGTCAATCTTCCTTTTAGGTTTAGCCTGTTAAATTTTTATAATTTGGGGGTGAAGATTACACAAAACATGAGTGAGGCTATAAAATATGCACACTCACATACTAACTATAACTACTGGTGCATACAGTCTGTTTGAATGCAATAATCTGCTTGTGCTCCTTCAAGGAAGTATTCACATATGTGTATGGTCTGCAGGTGCAGCTTAAATGCTCTCTAAGGGACAGACTTCAAACCCAGAAATTCAAGGTTTTAAACAGGTAGTGGTTTATTTAATGTTTTGAAGTAATATCAAAACATTTTTGACAGCAAAATGCACTCCAACAGCTTTTGTTAGATTGGAAGAGCATGCTTGCTTATGTAATTAGTTTTATCTAGGTAACTTTGTGCCATTTGTACCAGAGGGTAAGTTGTCACAAGTTTTCTAATTTCCTGGTACTCTTGTTTCAGCAAAAAGATGGGAACTTGATTCAGTTTCCAGCAAGCAGCTCCCGTCTGAGAGAAGCAAGTTGTCCTCAGCACAGGACTAACCCTTGTCACCCTGCAGAGATAACAGGTAAATAAATTGTATTCTCAAGTACAGTAGAACAAACAGAATTCACTTAGCCTAATTCCACTGAACATTGAGAAGGAACAGAATTTATTTTGGAAAGGGCAGACTTGAACCACTTTTGTGATGCCACCATACATCATGCAGCTGTATTCACAACACAGCTACAACAACAGCAAAATACCAAAAACACTTAAGTCTTCAAGATCTGAATCCAGTGAAATACTGCTGCTAACAACTTAATTTCCTAGTCAGTGAGCAGAGAAGAAGCCTGAAGAAAAACAAAAATCGAGCATCCAGGAAGATCATTCCACCTGCCTGATGCTACAGAAGTTTCCTCCTCCAATAATCATAGTTAAAATCTTTGTCTCAGTATCTTTTGATGATCATAAATACTTCAGACTCATTATTGTCACCCCGGGTAATAGCAGAAGAAGTCACCACAGGCATATGACAATGAAGTCATGGGAAGCAGAGAAACATATAAAGAAAAAAGTCAATTATGAGCTTTGCAAAGTTTTCAATTTAGGCCAATTTAGCCTCAACTAGAAGTTGGTTTTTTGGTAGCTTTCTAATGCTGTAAATTCCAATAATCTTGAAACACTTACATTTTGCTCAGGGGGTTATTCTTGTTCTGCCACCAGAACAAGGGGGAATCCTGAATGGCTGGCAAGCAGCTTACTTTTCTTCTTGAAGAAAGGTTCCATTACAGTGGATAGTGAACTAATTCATTAGAGCCCCACTTCCTTCCCAAAAGTTAAACTAAATAGCTCAAGTCCATTTCTGTAAACTGCCAAAAGAAAAAAAAAACATTTTAATAAAGTTCAAGTGGTTAGAAAGGAATAAGAGACCATATCCTACTTTGTCCATCATAAATCACGCCTATTTAAGCAGATGAGAAAGAATTATTACATCTTTCCACTGGTTAGACAGAAGTCAGCAACTAGTAGGACATACAGGAGCTTTGAAGACAAGATTTTGCTGGAAAGGAGGGTGCAAACAGAACAAGAAACTCTGAGGCTTTAAGAATTTGATATATAAAAAAAGCCCTCAACAAACTACAAAAAGTTTATTAACACAAAGGAACTGATATTCTTCTCCAGTTTTTTGTTTTCAGTACCTTCATCATGAGAAGCCAAATTTCTACCAAGACATCTGGATTACAGTTACAGTAAAAGCAAAGGATAGTTCACATACATAAGTCTTGAAAATATAACGTACTATTTTAGTGTCATTAATGTATTTTAAGAACACTGAGCAAACTTTAAAGCTCAGGACACCAAGCTATTCCACTTGTCCTTCTTACCTAGACAGAACTCATTAAATCCCAACCACTGCCTGAGACACACCTCTCTTGATCTAAAAAATTATTGTTTTTCTATATGCAGTTTTTAAAAAGTACATTGGTGAAAAAAAAAATCACGTAAGTCACGTAAATTTGATTTGTACAATAAGGTTAATGCTTCTTACCTCAGACCTGTTCCTAAAATCATAGAACAGAATTATAACATCATCTAGGTTGGAAAGGACCTCTAAGATCATGTAGTCCAGCCATTAATCCAGTACTGTCAAGTCTACCACTAATCCTCTAAATTGATACACATACACGAAAAACTTGAGTTGCTATGCACCTTTTTGATGATTCTGTTCTCCAAGTTTTCATCTTGAATGATGTGCAACCTTCATGGAACTTTTCAGAGAGGTGAGGCTAAAAAAGACATGCGGAGGCTCAGACTGTGTCAGGAGTACTTCCTTGAATCATAGAATCATTTAGGCTGGAAAAGATCCTCAAGATCCTTGAGTCCAACTGTTAACACAGCACAAATCCACTATGAAACCGTGTCCCTAAGCAGCACGTCTTTTAAATCCCTCTGGGGATGGTGATTCCACCACTTCTGTGGGAAGCCTGTTCCAAGGCTTGACAACCCTTTCAGTGAAGAAATTTTTCCTGATATCCAATCTAAATCTTCCCTGGTACAACTTGAGGCTATTTCCTCTCATTCTATTGCTTGTTACTTCGAAGAAGAGACCCAGAAAGAACTGATATTCCTAGTTTCCAACCAAGAAATGATGATGATGACTTTCTGAAGAAGTCTTGATAAATATCAGCAGCCTATGTCAACTTACACAATTTGGAAATAAAATACCTTATGTATCTTTTCTCACATCTCCCACTGTAGATTAGTAAGTAACACAAATTGTCCCAAATTCAAGACAAAACATATACAAGTCATCACAAGTTCTTCATAGGCACCTGAAAAATTTATCAGCATTTATGCCCGCTGTAAAGTATAAGGGAGAATATAATCTGATGTTGTAATGTCCTCTTGTTGAACATACAACCAGATGTGGGTCACGTGGTGAAGATTTTCTTTAGCTTCCAGAAAATCATATTTTGACATCTTTCTGATGCTCTGAGGAGGTAAATTAGATTGTACTTTAATGGAAAATCAAATTTGTTAATTCAGGCCTCTTGACTAATGGGGTGTAATTCTTTCTTTCTCAGTTGTTGCAGTTCCATTCCTTGAAAGCATAACAGCCAGAAAAAAAGCAACTGGCTCTTCCAACTACACAGAGTATTCCTTCTGCATGCAATCTTCAGGCTGCCTTGACAACTCCCCTTAGCAAAAGCATATCTGAAATGACAAAAGACAACCCTCCCAGAACATCAAGAACATGGTTATCACTCTTCTAGTTGGTAAGCCGCCCATCTCCTCTTTTTTCCCAGTCTTATCCCATCTCAAACATCTGTGGCAGGAAAGCATTGTAAATACCACACAGGCAACCACACCAGTTGCATTCAACTTGTAAAAACCATAAAATAAAAAAAAAAACTTACCACATAAAATCCCTGAACAGACATGAAATTGCAACAGATTATGAGAAGTGTACAATTTGCAAAGCAAATTTATGCATACCACTGGCATAATCTCCTTGGGCAATGTGCAGATAAACAAACCTCCCCCTCACTATTCCTCAGAGCTGCAACCTACAGCCTTCCCAAACACCCAGGTTGTTTTTCCCAAAGGCTGGTTCCCAAAAGGTTGGCTTTCCCAAAGATGGTCCAGTACCCCTAGGGAGCAGATCACCCACGCAGACTCAGGAAATTAAAAATGTTTTTTTTTTTCCTTTTCTTCTTGGATTGTTTTAAGCCTTAAGAAAAGCAGAACTGTCGCAGCATTGAGTACCCCATACAACTCAGCTTCTTCCATTGAGCCTCAAAAGAAAATGGGCCAGAAAGAAATTAACAGACAAACACCAGTTAAAGCTAACATGATGTATCATTTATTTTGGACTTTTTTTGTGTGTTCAGGGACATTTCCCGAGCACCACTCTTCAAAAACTGTTCTTCCATGAGTGGTTTGAATAGCTTTTCTTGTTCCTTTGAGAAGTAACCCAGTAATGATTTATGAAACTTTCTAACTAGAGGGAACACACATGGGAATCTGATGTGACAGATCAATTAATAAGTGACCCTGCCATGATCACAGATCCTCCACTTTCCCCAAGCCCCTAATTGGTCTTTCCCAATGACACTCTCAGGAAGACTGAAAATGCCAACTTTTATGGTTGGTATTTAAATTAGAGACTTGTCAACCACGACTATGTAACAGAATTGTTGTGTGACTACTCTCCAACTCTAAAATCAGGGATAAAGATTTTCATGCTATCCAATCCCTGTTTGCACATCACAAGTAAACTCTGTTTACTTGAGCTTCATACACGAATGACTACCTAGATATTTCAGAAAGCATCCAGTACCTTAGTTTTCAGATTTTAATATTAATTATAACTGGTTTTGAGACACTGCTGAGATTGGAACCAATGTTCTCTGTTAACCTTGACCAATCAGTCATTCTTCAGTTTTTAAGCTCCACATATTCCATGTGCTTATACAACAGGTAAAAACTAAGAGTTTCAACAGATTAGTTTTTGAAGAAGGCAAGGGCACTGACTGCCTTCACTGAAGTGAGCACTTACTCAACTGGTTAGCACAATGCATACACATGCTCTCGCTGTGGAATCCAGCTTTTATTCAGTTCACTGGTTTACATCTTTAGGTTTTAATGTTCAAAGAGAAATGTGGGACCTGTAGAAACCCCTATGGAACTTGCTCCATTCTTATGTCAGGTATTTGTTACAGTTGGCTTACTGAACTGCAAATTTCCTTTTGGTGAGACTTACTGAACAAGAGACCCTTTGTAGAAGGCGGCAACACTACCCTTTTTATCTGAGCTTACAGAACCTTTAATTTGGGACTTCCAAATTTACAGCACTGTGAGATTTCCTTTTGCGCTCCTTGTAACCTTGGGCCAAATTCTACCTTTACTTATCCCCACGCAGTAACTCACATCTCAAACTGCAGTTTGTGGAACTAATACCTCAGGTAGCATTAAGCTCTTCATTTTTCAACTAGAAGAGCCACAAAAGCTCCAACAAGAATGAACAGACTATGAGTTCCATGTACATTTCATACTAATTCCAGTCGCTTTTAAAACTGGAGATTCAACACAGATACGCAGGTTCTGCCAACTCTGCACATAAATAAACTGAACTTGCTGATGGCACGGGAACAGCTCAATGCTGTTCTTCATGCCCAGCACTGTCAGTACAGAAGCAAAGAGGAGTGGCTGCTTCAACAGAGCTGTGTTGCCAAATATCTGTACATGGACTTGCTGCCCAGACTCTCTCTTGGAGCAGCCTGCAGACGTTCAAAGAATCCAGGTGGTGCTGCACTGGCTATCACAACCAAATGTAAAAATCAAACAGCAACAATAATAACAAAAAATTTCACATGTTCATTCAGAGAAAAACAAAACACTCTTCTTACTTTAACTGTGGCTCTAGCCTGCAAAGTGATTATGTATGAAGGAAGGAATTCAGTGTGACTTTCAGCTTTCATGAATTAGCAGAGGTTTCAAATGAAAAGGAAAAAACAAGGTCTATCTGAGTTACAGTCTGCCCAATCTGAGAGCTGTTGGCACAATAAACACATAACCCATGACGTGTCACCCATGTATATTTTCACTATCAAGCACAACAAAGACAGCAAGTATCCTTTGGCACAAAAGCCCCATGCACAACCTCCCCCTGTGGCATTCTGTTCTGATGCATTATTTGCCCTAGTGCGTTCCTAGGAGCTACACTCATGAGCAAGCACAACACTGCATTCAGGCACAGAACCATCCTCTCCATAAAGTTTCAATTAGCCTTTCAACTCAATTGCACTGCATAAAAAAGAATCTGGGATACTACATACAAGATGTCATGTTTCATAAGAAATTTGATAATATATTTTATTTTTCCTATTGACATTTAGTTTGGTTTTGAATTCAAAATACGAAGCCAAAAAAGCAAAATAAATTATCCTATGAAAGTTAACAAATTATTCCATTGTTTTTAATAGCACTGGGCAAGTCCTACTGAATTAGGCACGAATTTGTCACATATGCAATAAAGAACTTAAGGCTAATACATCGTTTCCATTGTAAATCTTATTTTTAGAGGTTACATGTTAACATTTTAAATCAACTCCAGGCTTAGAGTTGGAAATGCAATTATTCCACAAGCTCAAAAAAACACGGAAAGATGACTGACAACTTGAACTGCTTTTCTGACAACTGCTAGTTAAATAAGATTCTTTATGAAATACTTGACTAACCTGATTGCTCTGTCTGATCAGCTGTTGCTACCTAAGGTACATTTGCACAAACTGCTCTCAGCCCGCATGCATCAAAACTGATGCCCGGGGGTTTGGGAAGCAATTCCACAATGTGAGAGGTTACCCACATTTACCTTTTTCATCACCAGTACCGTGGCTCCCGGGGAACCGTCAGTATACAGGTTACCCCAAGGTAAAAAGAAGACAATCTTCCCATAGCTGTATCCCTATTTCACCCTGCCACTACATGCCATATAAACGACGTAAAACGGAGTGCTACCATCCCTAAGCATTGTCCATCTGTAGCTTGTGAATCCCCAGGCGGTTCTGTGTGCCGCTTCACGGAGACTTGCGGAGGGTGCACTTTCAGGACCCGCAGCACCCTGGAGTGCGATATTCCCGCAGGCTCCCCGGGAGCTGCCACGGCTCCCTAAAGGGTGGACGCCCCAGGATGGACAGTTAAACTACGGGCCGGCGTGAAGTTTGTGCAAGGGCCGGCGGCTCCAGCCCGGCTCTCCCTGCAGGTACGCGCCGCCCGCCGGCCCGGCCCGGCCCAGCCGGCGTGTGCCCACGGCGGCGGGCGGCCCCGGCTGTCAGGGCTGTGCCCCGGAGCAGCCGCCGAGACCGGTCGTGCCCCCTGCCCACGCACGGCCCCCGCGCCCGAACCAAACCCGGCGGCAACCCCAGCCAGCGGGGGCACGGCGAGCAGCCCCAGGCGCTCGGACACTTACGGCGCTGGCAGAGTCCCGGCACGGCCGCCAGCAACCGGACCACCCCCAGGAGGGCTCCGGGGCCGCGCTGGCACCTGGGCACGGAGACGATCCCCGCGGTGAGGCAAGCCAGCAGCGGCACCCACATCATGCGCCGCTGCCGGCACCGCTCCCGCTCCCTCTCCTCGGGGCCGTGTCTCGGCGCCGCGGCGCGCTCAGTCCCGGCCCCCGCGGGGGCGGCGGCGGCGGCGGGGCCAGGGGAGGGGCGGCGGCGGGCCCGGCACAGGTAGGGCGCTCGGCGGGGCGGGCGCGGGCCGCTGCATCTCGGGGGCAGCGCCCGCCGCGCCCCTGCGCCCCGCCAGGGCCGGCCCCCCCCCGGCAGCGGCGGCCGTGAGGCCCCGGCCGAGCGCAGAGCGCAGCTCCCTCCATCCGCCTCCAGACCGGCGCGCCAGGGGCGCCCCACCGCCCGCCCTGCCCGGGGGGCGCGGAGAGGCTCTTGGCACCGCGCGAATAGCGGCGGCGGCGGCTCCGCACTTCCCTCGGGGAAACAGGCGGCCGGCGGCCGTCCCCGCCCCCGCCGGGCAGCCGCCCCCCGCCCGCCCCCGCCGGGGCCAGGTGGGCGCTGCCGGCCCCGTCCCGAGCTGCTGCCGGGGCTGTTCCTCCGCGCCGCAGGGCCGGGGTTTGGCGCGGGTTGGGGGGCCCGGGAGGGTGGCCGGCGGCGCTGCACGGAGCGGCCCGGCCCCACCGCGGCGGGTGCGAGCCGGGCCCGCGGGTCCCCCCGGTTCTCCTCGGTTGCCAGGAGACGGCAGCGGGGCAGGTTCCGCGGGCGGGGGCGGGCCCGGCGGTGAAGTCACTGCGTCCGCCCGCGCCGCTTTGTTCGGGGAGGAGGGTGAAGGCCGGGGACGCAGCGCTGCGCCTCCCGCTGCCGCACCTCGCCCTCCGCCCTGGCCCCGTGGCAGCCCCTCCGCCCCTCGGCGGGGCCGGCCCTCGCTTCGTGTGACGCCGCCGCCTCTCGCTCGTGCGACCCTCACCCCCACCGCCTCCTCCTCACCCCGCGGCGCTGCCCCCCGGCCCCACAAGCGCCGCCGGAGCGCCGCCGGAGCGCCGCGCTGGGTGCAGCACGCTGGACCAGGGTGCGGGCCGGCAAACCGCCCCCGATCACTTAATGTCACCTAAACACACCTCCCCTTCTTTACCGCCTTCCCCGAGTGATTTCTGCCCGGAGTTTCCACCCCTCCGGGCGCAGTAGGAGTAAAGCAAAGGTTACCGTGCCCGGAAAGTACCGCGACGTGCGGGCCAGGAAAGCCCCGCCGGGCCAAGGTGCGAGCTCCGGCCCGGCTCCGCTCCCCGGCCCTCCTGACGGTCGTGTCACTGTGCTCCTCTCGAGGGCTCCGCTCCCCGGGCACGCAGTGCGTGGAGGCGTTTTCCCGGCAGGTGAAACGCACCTGGGCACCTCTCCCTGTCACACGCCGGTGGCCGGGCCGCCGTCTCCCTGGGTTACCGGGGAGCTGTGCCGGCCTCGGGGCCCTGGGCCGAGCACAGAGCCAGCTATGGCCAGCCCGGTGTCATCCCTTCATTTCTGATCCTAATGACAGAACAGATGTCAGTGCACGCAGGATCCCAAAATAGCATGTCGATGCACCACCCAAGTCTGACTGTGCACGGTACAACGTTAATAAATCCTGCAAATGCAAGCAGTGTAAATAGTGTGCTGTTTCACTGTCCTTATGAAAGTCTGTGAAAGCCTCTTTAGACCCTGTGCTAAGCCTCATGGACTTATGGATTATTTATCATCTGCATGTCAAAGATCAGAAACTGAACCTACACTGGGTTTGTTCAAGGGTGCTAAGGAGGAGTTGGCAATGGAATAGTCCTATACTTGCACTCTTGGGAGTTTTTAAACACTGTATCATCTCCTTTGCTTCACCTTGGAAAAATCCCGTTTCAGACATCTGACTGTCATTTCTCGAGTGGCCACAGCCCAGATGGGGATATGGGATGTGAGAAAGTCACATGCAGTGATGGTCACATAAAAAATGTAGCGTCTACAGGACTTCAATTATTGTGGCATTCCTGACCTAAAAGCTTTATGATTTCAGAGGTCACAGTCTCAAATACTGTAAGTAGTGAGCTACATGTCCCATGAGAGTTCAGTTAGGTGCTATTTGAAATAAGATATACTTGCGACACATGAACTAAACTCAATTTACTCCTGTTGGACACTGTAATGTTTAACTCCTGGGTCATGGTGTTGGGAATTTATGGTGATTCAAATGTATCTGGAAAAAAGGGATTCAGGATGACACAAAAACAAATTCAAGGAAATATCTTTAAACAAAATGCCAACAGAAGCAAAAGTCACCAAAACTGAGATCTCTCTACTTTGGGATTTTTCACTTGCATAGTCTAAATAGTGCTGACGGAAGTATACAGCTAATATTCCATACGGATATATTCTGTATGAATCTTTTTATCAGATCAGAAGGTAAATTATCATAAGCGTCATAAGCAAAATGGCTCTGCCCTCAACAGCATGAATTATCTTGCAGGTTTCTAAGCAAAGGCTGTTCATCATACAGATAGGAATCAGAGTCATTACATGCCCTACTCCTGATGAGAACGACATCCAAGGATTTGGCGTTCTAGGCAAAAAGACAATACCTACGGTTTAAGGGGGAAGAAAAAAATTCAGATATTTTTTATATAAAATCGGAGAATACGGTAACCAGAATGAAAACTGGCTAGTCATTAATTTAAACACTGAGAACATAATGAAAAGGATGTCAGTATTGGGTGTGAACTATGCACCCTGAATAGTTAAAGTTACCAGGATCAGCAGTAACAAGCCAAGAGCTAAAGGTGCCAATAGTTTAGGCCTCTGTGTGTGCAGGCCACTGTAACTGTGTAAAGTATTCTGCTGGTTTATGTAAAGTGCAGCTTTTTCCTATTTCTTTAGCTTCATTCCTCCCATGGTGGGATCCAAAGACTTAAAAACATTTACTTTACAGTGATAGCATCTTTGAATAAATTGTTGTTCAGGCAGCGTTTATAATGCAATAATATAATTATGCAGGAGTTTTGAATAATAATTCTAGTTTTGCAAGTGGAGAAACTGAGTCATCCAAGGTCACATAAGAGACACAAATCAAGGAGTTTAAGACAACTGGAAATGGATTTAAGTCTCAATCCATTGTCCTATCCACAGGACCATTAATCCTTGAAGTAATGTGGTTGTGGAATCTCTGTCCTTCAAGATATTTGAAACTCAGCTGAACAGGTCCCCAGGCAGCCTGAACTAATTAGATCTGTTTTGAGCAGAGGGCTCATTGTGCCTCAAGAGGCTTTTTCCAACCTGTGCTGTTCTATGAATTTCTATGGTGGAAAGTGTGTAGTTCTCTTTTATTACATGTATAACAAATTTCTTGAAGTGTTATAACTGCGACTTCTTTTCAGTATTTACATTTGTTTTATTGAAAACAAAATACAATTGTCTATCACAGTGTTGGTGAACAGCCTCTCTTTTCAGGAAACAGTTTTGAAAATATTGCATCTGCAATGAATGCTAACTAGAGCTGGTCAAAAACCCCAAAACATTTCTTACAAAACCCACGTTCCTTTTTTGGTTGAATATTTCCAACCATCTTTAATGTGCCATTTCATGGGGGAGAGTCCAAACCAAGGCTGCAAAGGGAAGATTGATGGTGTTTTACAACTTCTGATATCACAACTTTTTTAAAATAAAAAATGCACTGTGTGTTCATCAGGAGGTCCTGTGATTTCTTACATTAGAAATGGCATCTTAGACACTATTAAAATCCCCGTAAAATGCATTATGGTGTACTTAAATTATTTGTACTTTCCCCCAACTTCCCTATTTTAATAATATAAAATCCTGCTAGAGTATAGTAATTGTTTTGGATTTGGTGGCTTTACTTGATCCCACGGACATGCAAATTGTATTTCTTTGCTATATAACTAGCTAAATGGATCATATGCTTGTCTGTCAGATACAATTGCTTATGGCAATCTATATGGCAGCAATGCCTCCCTTCTGCTTTTCTTTAGAAAATTACTTGCAAAACCCTGGTGGTACACTTCTCTTCCTTGCTTATATAAACAATTGAATTCTAAAATTTTTATATTAAAAATAGAGTATGTAATCCTCTAGAAGTCCCAGATCTTGATCTTTTGTACTTTAGTGCTTGTGACAAGCCCGCTGAAGTCTGTGTTATAAGACAAAAAACCTAAGATATTTCAGACCATTGCAAGAAAAAAAAAAAGGCAGTGAAGATAGTTTTTCAACAGAAATGATCAGCAAGCAGTTCAGACAGAGACAGCAGTGGCTTCTCAGGTGAGAAGTTATCATTCTGTTTAGGGTTTACCAGGTCAAACCCAATGCTTTAAGCTCTATACAGACACTCATTTCCTAGGACATCTGTAGTGCAAACAGCTGATCTGTAAATTAGCATTGAGGGGTCTCAGTGAAGGTGTCCCTCTCCTCTGTTTAAGTAGAATGATTTTTCTAGAGACAAGAAAGCATAAAAAATTATCTATAAAATTCCACTAGGATTCTTAAAAGCATAAAAATATGCATGTAACAAGTGGTCAAAACTTAGATTGTTTATTGAAATGCTCTAAAAACCTCTTTCTGGAAGTAATTACTGAAAAACCCCAGCAGTATATTCAGTTGAACAGATGTATTCTGGAAGAAGAACATTTTAATTGTTGTCACATGAGGAGTTTTAAAGAACACTGTTACACTAAGATATTTTGGTACTTCCACTATGCATTTTTATGTGATGGAACTGGTATTTTAGATAGAAGTGTTTTCTTCCTTTTGACAAATACTACTGTAGTTTGTTTTGAGAGTCTTTCTGACTTCAGAGAGTTGAACTGCCCTAAGTAAATTTTAAAGAATAAAATTTACCTGGGATTCTTCTATATACTGTCATTAATATTTTCCAGATATTACATCACATATTTACAGGCACCATGGCTTGATTTCTGAAAGG